AGTCTACTTCTGGACACAAACCCCAAAGAACTGAAAGCAGTGACTCAAACAGGTATTTGCTCACCCATGTTCATAGAGCACTGTTCACACAGCAAGAAGGTGGCAACAGCCCATGTCCATCAGCAGATAAACGGGTAAACAAAACACAGTCTGCACTCACAATGCAGTATTATTCAGCCCTAAAAAGGAATGAAATTCTGCCCCTTACAACATGAAAGAAGCCTGAAGAAATAGTGCTAAGTGAAACCAGCCAGGCTCAAGGGCTAAGTACTGGATGCTTCCACTGATGTGAGGTACCGAGAGCAGTCAGCTCACACAGGGAGGAAGAATGGTGGCTGCTGGGGCTGGCGGGAGGGAGGACAGGAGGTACTGTTTCATGGGCACAGGGTTTTGGCCGGGGAAGAGGAAACATCCTGGGATGGATGACGGTGAGGGTAGAACAGCAATGTGAATGTGAATGTACTCAATGGTACACTTAAAAGTGATTAAAATGGTAAATTTTATATTATGTTTATTTTACCACAATTTAAAAGAACGATATAGAACACAGGTGCACAATCTAAAAAATAATAAAACAAACCGCTGTGTACCCACATCCAAGTTATGGAAACAGAACATCCCCAGGACCTTCAGGTCTCCTGTACGCCCCTCATTACGTCCACCTGGGACTCGACCAGAATTCATCACTAGTTATCACTCCCTTACTTTCTCTCTCGTTTTACCACATGAGGGTACCCCATAAAAATATATTCCTAAATAATATATTCTTTGGTTGTTGGATGTGGTTGTAGCTCATTTTCACTGCAGCGCAAAACTCCAATGTATGAATGAGTCACAATTTACCCATCTTACTGCTGAAAGAAATCAATGGTCTCCAATGTTTTGTTCCTATGAAATAATGAGTATTTTTTAGTTTTTCTAGAATGGCTTTCACACATTCTTGGCAGCAACCACAAAAAAAAACATGCTACTCACAAATCAGTCCACCTTCACAAACACATACATAACTGGGACTAAGTTTCTCAAAATAATACCCTTACAATGAGGTACACTGGAATTTTCTACTGTATTTAACACTTCAGAAAACTGTTGGTCAAATGGCATTAAGCTGTCTTCAGTTTTACTAACTGGCGCAGCACAGGCTGAGAACCATGCTCTCAGTTCATCTTTGGGGGGGAAGGTGTTGGGTGTATGCAGGGACGCATGTCTTTATTGAGTAGCGTTAAACTGTCTCCAAGGTGACTATTCCAACTTACACTTCCTCCAGTGCAGTAGGGAAGCAGACTGCTACTGAACTAAGGATTATCAAATATATTTCTCTCCAAAACAAGAAAATTTACGGAATAGATCAGAAGGTTTAATGGATGAAACTTTGGTATGTCATGTGGACAGAAAGTAAATAAAGTTATACTTCTGGACCCTAGAAAGTGTCTTATTTCGTTTACTTCTTCCTATAAATAATATAAATGTTTTGATAAAATGAACAAAATTGCAAGGCAATAACTACCAAAGCATGCCAGGCATTCAGGAATGAGAATAGAAAATCAGCGCCTCTTTCTAACAGAGTTCAATCCCGTCACTCTGTGTTACCTGGTCCTGAGACACCTCAAGCTCTTTCCCCACCTCTGGTCTTTGTTCTTGCTGGCTGACCTCCTCCTACAATACAGCTCTCCTCCTTGCCAGCATGGCAAATTCCTGCTTATTAAAGAATCATCTCTTTTGTGAATTCTCCCATGCCCTCCAGCCAATTCAGCACTTCTCTGGCCGCTGTTCATTTTGTACAGTATCTTTATTATCTCAGAGTTGTATAAATATTTGTTGAGTTAGGTGGTCTACAAGACCTAAGCCAACATTAGATAAGTAATCCAGATAGTTTCTACTTTTCACCACTTCACAAGTTACAATTCTGCTCATTAATAACTTGGCTAATTGAAACCCATATTTCACTTTTATTGCTATGGTTTCCAATAAAGTCTACACAGAGGCACAGTATAAACAGCAATCAAGATGCAACGTGTCCAGCTAGAATTCTGCTTTAAGGCGGACAATATGCCTTAAGACAGGGTGTCCAAGAACATGTGAAAATTGCCAGTGCCAACTGCCCTTTTATATGTGCTGTACTGCACTGTACTTCTCAGATGGGCAGTATGGAGGCTAATGATCTTTAACTTCCTAATTCAAATTTAAGAGTCCACATTTAAAAGGATGAAGTCAGGAAAATTAACTTCCATCTTTGACCCTCCTTAAATTTGATGCATGCTCAAGGAAACAGATTTTGTGTACTTATCAATTGTCTGGTAAAAAAAAAAATTACCAGAAAATTTGAACTGCAGTATTTTGTACCATTTCTATAAAAATAAGGGAAGACTATGCAAAATATAAATGTATTCAAAGAAAGTTTATAACATTAAATTCAGCTACAAGACAGAAATATGTGAAGGTAGAATTTGTATGTTGTTTGAAATTGATTCTACAGACAAGATTAATGACCTCATAAAACATTTCACCGGAGCTTGGAACTAAAGGTCAGGTATGCCTACTCTAAACAGCTGACTTAAGTATTCTTTAAAAGAAATCCACCAAGTAAGAACATAATATAAAACTAAATGCCCCTAATGCTGTTGCTTTACTTTTGCAATTCTGGGTCAGTTTACGGACTCTAAAATCAAGCTGATGTACACTGACAGAATTCTCACCCACACACTAGCATCGCCACAGTAAAGAAAGGTAACGCCTGGGCTGTCTACTTCTCTGTTTCTTCTTTAAGCTGCAACCACATAATGGGGCCCTTGGCAGGAGAAATGTTAGAGGGCACAGAGATAAGCCACACAGGCAAGCAGGTGTGCACAAACATTCAAATTTTCCTACTTAAAAAAAAAGTTTTTATGGATTTCAGAGAGAGGAAGAGAGAAACATCAATGATGAGAGAGAATCATGATCGACTGAATGCCTCCTGCATGCCCCTCACTGGGAATCGAGCCCCCAACCTGGGCATGTGCCCCAAGTGGGAATTGAACCGTGACCCCCAAGTTCATGGGCTGACTCTCAGCCACTGAGCCATGCTGGCGGGGCCAAATTTTCTTGTTACACTGAAATTCTTTGGATGAGAGCAAACATCCATTAAATAGTGTTTTAGAAAGGTAAAAGTGATCTTGAGATATGATCAAGAAAAACAAATTTTAAGAAATAAAATTACCTAATTTTATATCAAGTTGGTGGCATAACACCACAGAGGGAAATCAGTTCATGTAGCTTAAAATACAGTATTTTTGACTACATATCTTTGTTTTATCTTAAGTAAAAAAAAAATCCATAAAAAATAAAGCTGTATTCAGCAGTCTTATCTGTACTACCAATATTGTCATATTATTTTGACACCTCTATAGGAAGTTTCTAACCAACCGAGCTACCCAGCAGGGCTGTCTTAGAGTTTGTTTATATTCGCTTTACATTTCTAATCGCAGAAGTTATGGTTAAAGTAAACATTTCAAACAAGCCAGTAGTGAAAATGTTTTACCATATATACCAATTTTATACCAGAAGATGAGTTTACTAACCAGTTTCCTTTGAGGAAAGCAGTTGTATATTTTAAACAAATTAGGTGAATCAATGTTTTTAATCAGCACAAAAAATGTAAACATACTCACCTTTATTTCAAACTGGTTAGCAAAACAGTGTGCCCTATGTTATTACAAAGGGAGGCAAGACCCCTCAGAGAAAAATGTGTACTTTACAATCCTGATGCCAATAGCTCTAAGCCCCAAAGAGGCTTCCCCTGAAAGTAGGGCCTGCCACACACTATGGTCCAGAGGGAGGTCAAATCTCCTGCAAGGTCAGTATCACTTGATCTTGGCCTCTAATGGGCATAACTTTTGTCTGTCTTTACACACACAAGGCATACTCGGAGAAATAACAGATTTCTATACATTCTATATCTTTTTAACATCTATCACCCCACGATTAAAAATCTCATGCTGTTATCTCTAAAGAAGTTCCTGAAACTATTTTTCATCATGTAAAAAGTATGTATTTCTCAATTTCCAAATGATTTTTAAATCGTGTTTCATTTTAACAGAATTTGTTACTGTTACTTTGTACAAATAATATTCCTACTTCTGCCTTCTGAGTATATAAACTTAAAAAAATATTTTTTAAAGGTCCAAAATTATAGTCCTTTACAAAGAACCAGTATAGCAACTATATACTTTATTTATACTAGTGCTCACCTGCTTGTATTACACTAGAAGAGAAAAAATATTCTCTTTTTCCTCCAAAATGACTGATGGCTAAAGAAACACATTTAAACAAGCCAATTCAAAAAGCCTAACACAAGGAAAACTTCCTTTCAAAATTGGCTTAGCCACAAGTTCTGTTTACATCCATTTTTACAAAATGCAACAAACAGTACATGAGAGAAGCCTGGAGTTACAGTTCTAAATGTTTATCTTATAAAGAAAAGCCTACTTAACTAAACAGGTTAGTATAGTTATCTTCATTATTACTTCCTGTTTACATAGTGTTGTGGCCAGAACAAGGAGTTATCTGTAAACTTAAAGAATTGAAGAAAAATATTATTTTTCGGATTCCAAACAACACAATTGCACCAAATGTTTGTTGCCTACCAGAATGTGACTTAGAAGGAAATGCAAAATGACACATATGCATGAGGGGTGGGGGAGGGCTTAAGATTTAGATGTTACAAAAAAAATCAATTTATAACAATCAAGATGTAGTCAATTATGCCCAAAGATAGAATCACCAAATCTTTCTATGTATCCTATTTCTATCCTGAACTATCCAGTCAGATTGACATTGGCCGTTTTTACTTTCCTGAGCCCCCCCGCTGGTTTAGCAGAAGTTACCTCAAAATTAGTTGCAGTACAAATGAATACACTTTCATAAAATGCACACTTTCAGCTTAAAGCTAGCTGCATTAACTTTTGACTTTAAAAATATGGAAAGTCAGCTGGCTGGGCGTGGCTCAGCCATTGAGCATTTACCTAGGATCCAGGAGATTGCGGTTCGATTCCAGGTCAAGTCACATGCCCAGGTTGTAGCTCGATCCCCAGTTGGGGGCATGTAGGAGGCAGCCGATCAATGACAACTTTCTCATTATTGATGTTTCTCTCTCTCTCCCCGTTTCTGAAATCAATAAAGATATATTATAAATAAATAAAAAACAAAAAACCAAAACAAAAAGAAAACGTCTACCAGAGAACCAGGCTGGTCTCTTCAAAAAGTCAATGTCGGAAGGGGAAGGAAAGG